TGTTTCATCTTCTCGTTTTTCATTCTAATGTCTGTTTTAGTAAACCCAAACAGCATTTAGCTCCTTATGAACCCCGTCGTACTTGGTAAAACTTAAGGATTAGATTCATGCCATATACATTCTTTTGCTTGAATCCTCAGTCAAATATCTGAGAATTGGAATAGTGAACCATCAAAAACTCATCATTCCACCTATTTCAGACAATAAATTTTATCGAGCTTAATTAGCAGCTTTTGGCTTCTTGACAAATAACGTTGTGTCGAGAAAGACAATTCTTTTAAACTGTGAGGTGTTATCCACATTCACTTTCTCTACAAATCTAAGAGAATAATCATGTCTAAATGTTGTAACCACTGTTTGGGAGAATGCATTTTGAGTAAAATTCCAAGGTACTATTGCAGTAGGTACAGAGGAATATTTTGAAAGGACCAGCAAAGACTGCTACCGCCATCTCGCTCAAGGTGAATTATTTGGCTTTAGATACTTACCAAGAAAAAGACTTTCAATCCTCTACTCTTGGTCTTCTGCATTCTGCAATTGCGTTATTAACTCATAAATACTGTTCAGAAACAGACTATATCAGTTGGTATTATTTGTTTTAATCTTCCCATTGATGTTAAGGATTGCAATTGATCAGCCTCTTATTAGCATGTGTGCATACTTTGTGCATTGCCTCGATATAGCCCTAATTAACGAGCATTATAAACCCTGAGACGCAGGTCCCGTATAGGACGAAACCTGCGTCCAGGATTCCACTGCTAGCCACTATCCACCTTCGCTTAGAACATATAAGTGTTTGGATTCAGTGTCTTAAATATTAAAAGTATCACGTTTATACCAAATGCGTAAACGTAGCGTAACTGAATAATTTTTTTGCTTAATGACAGCACAGATTGTTCGTTGTAAAAACACTCTGCTGCAAATATATCTGGTCAGCTTTCATCATATACACAAGCAGTAAATTTATCTTTCGACGAAAAAACTATGCACAGAGTGTTTCGACTCTGTGCTCATATTATGACGTCTTCATACAAACGAAGAATTATGTCGATCGATTCCTCCGTCCGGTAACTGGAAAAAGGGTCCTACAACCTCACGGGAAATTAATATCTCAAGTTGATGACAGTGAATCTCTGTGAAAAATCATAATTTATGTTTTTGAAAGCCATAGCCGTCTAAGATGACAACAAATCGAAACAGATTGCTTAAACTTTCAGTGGCTATTTTCACTAAAATGTTGGTTCAATTAAAGAATGCAAAGCGCAACAAATAAGTGTTATTCTATCCCTTAGTTATTACAAGGGGTGTTTCTAATTTTGGAATAGTGTTTCAATTGAAAAGCAAATATGTACAAGTAGAGTCGATGAAAGCAACAAAATCAAAAAGGGAAGCGAATTAACGTGCTGTTTACTATCAGCTCTGATTGACTGAATTTTAAGCAACCTAATGATTGAATACGGTCATTATCAGTGTGGCCATCTACGGTTCACAAATGATGATAAAAATTTGAATCTCCTTGCAATCTCTTTTGAATTCCCAATACCAGTTGTTCCCGTATAATGCAAGATATCCATTCTTTAATATGGACAATTAAGAAATCTCATGCTTCTTTATCTCTAAAAATTGTTAAATATATATATCCTTCCTACTAAGCATGAATACCGTCTAACTAGTTCATCTTCGGAACAATGAACAGAAGGTAACATAATAACAGAAAGCCAACATTTAATGGGCTCTTTTCCACATTAGCGAACACAGCAAGGTTTGGAAATATTGCTGACCTATTCCGAAAAAAGTCTTCTCATCGACTTCTTGATTCCCCCAAAGTAAAGGCTCGATATTTGTTCATTGGCTCGTCCGCCCACATATTTATTATATCAGTTGAAGAGCTTCATTTATTCAAACGACTTGTAGCACTAGACAGATAATAGATAACGATTCTCAACTACGTGATACACTTATCCCTGTCACTTTATTAGTCCGCTGACAATCAAATCAGATCATGAAAAAGTTTATTGATGTAAGTTAAAATTGTAGGTCACCAACGTAGATTATCCATACCGAATGGTTACGAGCCTACCCGAGTTAGACGAGAATGGTGTGACCAAAGACTAACATCGTACACGCCTCACAGTCAGTATCTAACGTGGATTACACCTTTGTCGTAACAACGTACTGTACGAAGGACATGATTACATAAGTATATTAGTCAGAGTAGGTACAAGCAAAAATACGGCCATCACCGGATGGGGCAGTCCGTGACGTCAGATCAAATAATGCGCGTTGGTTGTCCTTGATCTGGACGGGGATGAATGAACTGTTCGATGTTAAGTTGCCCTACTGCAGGACGATTTGTCTAGGGCTCAGTGACATTTCAGTGGCCCTACAAATGCAATAAGAAGAAAAATGTTCGTTGCTTATAACTGAATAAACACAGACCACATACATCAGCCACATATTTTGTCATTTCTTCCCCAGGGACTCACTCATACGATAATCTCTTAATGTCATAATACAAACGGCAAACTCATCGGCTTAAAAAATTATATCCATAACTAGCAATAAATAATTTGACTTGAACTGAAAACTCACCACATTTCTTTCTGTTGGAATGTTTGGTGTTTTGTTTTAATACATCAAAAAAGTTAATATTACCAGCACAGTAAATGGCACACATTTAAATTCACCTCTACCATACATATTGTTTTCTACTAGTTTACATCTCGAGGTTGTTTCAATTCGAGGCTTATGCTAATACTGATTATCTTCTATTGCTTTAGCTACTAAATATAAGTGCGTTATGCGCCATCCCCGGGTTTTTAACTGATTTTTTTAAAACATTTGATCTCTTTTCCAGTTCTCAGCACTCCCTCTACTCTTCATCCTGTTGTGGTACACATAGTTCTCTATGACTACACGCAAACTACTACACTTATTTGTAGCAGTACTACTGAGATAATATTCCACTTAGCGATTATTGTTGGTTGATTGATTGAATAATCTCATTTATTTGTGTACATGATGTTATATGAACATTCACCAGCCTAGAAAATCCCACAGTTTCATCGAGAGAATAATGGAGATCAGCCATGTTTTTTTGAACATAGATGCAAGTGTCCGGGATATTAGTGCTGCACTACCACAAGGTTTTTTAGCGGAAGAAAAGAACTGTGACTTACGTATGTCGTATGTTACAATAAACAGAAAATACTCGTGCGAATTTAGAAACAAACTCTAGACGTCGTTCATAACTTGCATTTTACCCGATATTACCTCGCGGAATTCAAGTTGGTCATTTGAAATTATCATGTACCATTAAAGTGACTATAGAATTTCAGAAATGATCTTGATTATATTTTTGGTTACAAGAATGTGACTTCGAATATACTTATCCGTGTTTATTGAAATTAAAACTCTGGTATCGTATCGCACAGGACAGACAAACCTCATAAAAACTTTCCGTTGTGTTACCAATCTGGGAATCTAGCACAGTACAACAGTTCCCGTTTAATTAACAACGGGTATAATATCAAACTTTCACAAGTATTTTAAAACTACTGTCGAAGAAAATAACCTAACTTCTCGTCTTTTTGGAAAGGTAATAATTAAAAAACGTTGCCTGCTACCCCATAATCCATTACACTCTAATGTTCGAATTTAAAGTAAAAATATTTGCAAGCAACTGATAAGGAGTATGGCGCATATGTATCCGGCACCCTTTGTACCAATATATATGCGATTAAATAAATAAAAAAACTGATAAGGAACTATGAGATAAAATAAATTTATATTATTCTGCCCCAATGTTTATTTCAGCCTTACTCAAATATAATGGCACTAAAACCCCTGAGAGATGCTAAGTTGGCCCACATTCAGGAAACAGAACTTATGACGTCAACCGCGTATAATGCTTTGAAAAATTCGATTTCCCGATCATCTTCAAAGGATATATTAGGGGTTTATCGGAAGGAAAAATCTCTATGATTTACTTAAGAATTCTTAATACTGATGTGTAGAGTATCATATCTCTGTTATGAACCATATAATTTGCAAGTTTATAGTAGTTCCTTAATCTATAGTCGATTGTGTTCTGGATAAATTTCATGAAGGATTGGGACACGGAAGTCAACATAATGTAATAAGGGCCACCAAACGTATATTTTGGTTGGCAGAGCAGAGATAAAACATGCGGATTTATCCCACGGCTCTTAAGACATAATCGATGATCAAGAGCCTGGAAGATAACCTTCGTGTAGCTTTGATTAATATGGAACCAGGTGCCTGTATTGGAATAACGGCCATTAAGTTTACTGGATCAATGCATGAAACAACTCGGAAAGATATATATATATATATATATATATATATATATATATATGATAATGATTGTTTGTTTGCTTAGTCAGACTTGTCGATAGTCTGACAGGTTGTCTTACCCTTGTTATTAACATAATCCTGTCGAATTGTTGTCGGGTCTTGGTGTGGAAATACATTTACGTTCTAGTCATGCAAATCGCGTGTTCTCGATCCGAGCTGTGTTGAAGTCCCGTGGAATAGACATTGGGAAGGAATCTAGTGAAGATATTAATCTAAGTAAAATTAACGTCCCATTCGTTTAGACGTCGGTTTGCATTTAGCTTTGACAATCCACTATGTTCATCAAACCGGTAAACGAATTCAAATAACCTAAGATATACTAAATTTAGCACGCAAATCATTTTCAAATTGATTTTCGACTATGCTTTATTTAACTTCCTTTTGTGTTCATTATAGAAAGCTGTTGAGGACAGCTCTAGATGAAGGAAATAGAAGTGTAAAATTGGTAAAGGTGAGGTCGAAACGACCTTTGATTAGAAAGATTACTGATTGATTAATTAGTTGCATCAAAATTTGCAGCTGACTGAACTTTCGTCAAGTTAAAATTTGTTTGGGTTTAATCTGGAGGTTTACTCTAATACCAATTCAAACCATTTCATCAGGCTTGTAACTACACTCAGACTATGATTAATGAGCAGTTGTTTGATTATTCTCAGGTTTCTTCGACATATACAGATATGCCTAAAGCCGAAGGTTTTAGACTGTACAATCTACTTTCTCGCCCTTGGATTTTGATATTCTTTCACTGTAAGTTTTTACAGAGTTAATGATCAAGCTAGTCTTTATTTTGACTATTTGTGAGGGCGGAAATGTTATTTCATATAGTACAAACATGAATCAACAGAATATTTCGATTCCGATTTCAACGAACATTTCAGGCGTATTTCGGGTAAGATGGTTACAAACATATTATGTTGTCAGAGTACAGCTACTTGTTCCTTTCTTAAAACACCCACCGCCTCTGATACGAATGGCTTATTCTCAGAAATATTATTATCAGATTCAAAGCCAAATGGAACCATCACTTTCCAATGCTCCCAAGTTGGCCATGAAGTTCTTTTCTCCTGTCATGATAAAGTCAATTCAAGTATTTTGTTCTCAAATAAAAAGTTGGTTAGCCATTCATGTTTTACCCGTATAACAGTTGGATTCAATGTAGAAAACCTCCTGTTGTATCTGTTGCTCCAAGGACAGTTCGTCTCCTGAAGAAACCAACTCCTTTTAATCAGCGAATGATTATTCTAACCAGGTAAACGCGATTCATTTGTCTCATATACACATAGTGAGATTGTTTCAGAAAGCAACATTATTGTGACATGTCTGAAGAAAGATGAATCAAGTAGGTAGTCATTTGTCTTTAAAATGTCTTAATATTATCATACAACTAAAATTTAAAGTTATTGCTGTAGCAGTATCTAATCCCATTGTACCCTAGCCACTAATAAACCTATATTAATTACCATACATGGGCAGGAATCCTTACTTCATTTCTTACGTGATTCATTTTTTCCTTCAGTTGAAATAATTCTCTTCAACAGTGAATCACAACTAATTATTTTTAAGTGAAATTAAAAGGTAATTGCAGGGAAATTTTGCCTGGATGCCACCCACAATTTCAGCTAATCAGGTTCATATTTCTGAATTCAATAATTAAGTTGTGGTTTTAACTTCAGAATATTGTTAAATAAAGAACATCTAAAAACCAGGGACGGTGGTTCATTATTTCTTTCCGTCTTATAACAAACCAGCCGTAAACAAAGACGCAAAAACAACAAATTACACAAAATCCAGAGCTAAAAGTGTCCAGTCACAGCTTATCAACAAAGTGTCAGGCTAAGAATCTTGGAGATGTAAGTTTAAGTCCCACAGGGAGCATCAGTTACTATAAGATTGAAGGTATACCTAACTCCGAAGTGCCAACTGGCATGAAAGAATTGTCAATCAGGATATCCTGCCGACTAATTCCAATTACCGAACTGGCTTTATAATAAGGTTTTACTTCTTTTAAACATTTTGAAACGGTTTCCAGCAAATAACTGTTATTTTCCCCTATTTTTAGCAGACATATTAGTCTCCATAAACCCTGTCACAGTATATTCTGGAACGTCAACTGGAGTTGTAAGTTTTTGAGACCAAAAGTGAACGGACATTACTTTTTCAGGTGTCTGTTACCATTCGGTCAATTTCCAGTGCTCAATCATTTACTATTTCATGTAGGGCGCAATCAATTAATGGTAATCAGTATACGTCGGCAACATCTGAGGGTTAGTAAAAATTTTCCGATTCAGTCATAATGTCTATAAACATTAAAGGAAGCAGTTCAGTGATCTCATTAATCAATGGAGAGATTATCCTTACACCTAATGATGTGAATTTGTATAGCCTACAGTTTCAGGTTGGTTTATTGTATTTTCTATTAGTTATTGTTATTATTATTCGCTATAGTACAACACAAAAAATATTTTGTCGGTCGTATCCTAAGATGCTATCCTATCCTGTTTTGTTTTAATTGCGTCGTTTTAACATTTTGTGGGAACAAATTTACTAATGAATTTTTAAATCCGTATATATAACCTATCTTTGAAAAGACTGGCATTAAATATTCCAGTTGTTGAATCCTTTGAGTTAAACTAACTTTGCATCAATAGATTAAGCTGCTATACTGAATGAACTTGAATTCAATACAACGACCACCAAATTACAGTTCTATTAAGTTTGAAACTGATATAACGAAATCTGTGGAAGACTTCTACCCTCAATGACTGCATCAAATCTCAAAACTCGGAAACTGATGAACTAGATTTGTCTGTTATGTGAAAAATATGAGAAGAAAGGATTTACATACCTCTAATTATGGATTTTCTAGGCCTCAATAAAACTCAATGTATCGGCGAAAAAGGAACATGCTTTCATCAAACGAAACGTATAAAAGTAAATTCGCAACCCGATAGCAATTTATATGCATTATTATCACATCCTGATTAGGCAACCATTTAAAAGTAGGAAGTACTGGACAGCTGTTCTGTTCTAGCATGAAACTTATAAGCATTATGTATCCACAAACCGTTCAAATTAAACTAGGTTTTGGATAAAAGATCACAAAACGAATCTAAACGAAGAAAATTCAACCAAATGGTTAGAATAAATGAGTCTTTGCAATAAAGATGTACCATTCATTATAACACAAATTGTTGAGATGGTTTAATAAAACCAAACTATCAGTGTGGGGGTTTGTGGAAATTTTAGTATTTTTAACATTTGAATTCACAAGTTGATCTAAGCTAAACCACCAGGTTTCCAATGGTCATCTAGCTTACACCGACTCGTGAAATCAAGTAATAAAACCAAACTTTTAACCATTAATAAGTAGCGTGTCATAGCACAAAAAACAAATAATGAATCAATAGTGATCAATTATAATAGCAAATTGTTGTTCCTGATACAGCCGAAGTTGTCGAGATGGTGTAATCTGATCTATATCAGTGATTAAATCAATAAGGGGGTGATATTAGTTTGATGTACATATTTTTTTCAATACACAAGAGACAGAAATACACTTATATTTGTTTGACATTACTTCGGTTAGTGTAGCTAAATATGTAGGGGGCTAACTATTTAAATTGAATCAAGTTTCCATAAGTTATTTCCAAAGATTTTGGATACACTTCGCTAGTTACTACCAATAAGCGTACTTTTAAGGAATATTGCTGCAAATTTACCACCGACACAACATGGATCAGAAAGTTATGTAATCTATTGTATTCTTCTAAGAATTTCACATTTGCAGTGTAATAAAGTGTAATTGTTATGCATCACAGAACCAATGTATTTCTTATAATCCACATGCGTTAGTTCATAGCTTGCATCCAAATATACATGTATATTGTAAGTGTTTCTTTTTATTCAAACCAATGGGAGTTTTACACAAAATATGTAAACACTATTCGAGTTACATTGCTACTGTTATATATTGAGGTAATAAACTTTTTTTAAACTGAAAAAAACATAAATTCACTTAGTATTGTTTGTTTGAATCTTCCCATTGATGTTTAGTACTGCAACTGGTCGGTCTCTTATTGGCATATGTGCATACTGTGCGTATCGCCCTCACTATTGAAACATAAGTTGTACAGAACTATTCTGTTCAAAATTATGAGTTTATTATTGTTATTATTTTACAGGTTTTATTATTTCTGAATGGATTAAATCAAGATTTAGGAGTCCTTTGTAGCGTTAATGTGGCTAACAATGAAACACAAGTCAATAATTTACTCAGTGATAATACATGTGGAATAGTATCAACTAATGGTAATATGTTTTAATATATTTTAAATTACTTTCAGGGATTTGGACAAATTCAGAATCTTTTTTTGCATATCAGTTGTTCTTTATATGAATATTATATCAATAACCATTAATTTAGGCTATATCGAGGCAATACGCACAGTATGCACATATGCCAAATAGAGACTGACCAGTTGCAGTCCTAAACATCAATGGGAAGATTTAAACAAACAATACTAAGTGAATTTAATAACTATTATTATTCTCACTTTATTCCAAAACTCAATTTCTCTTTATTCAACTCTGTACTTGATTGTGTCATTGTATAATCACTGTAGTCACCATTTAAGATCTATTCTCCCTAATAATGTATTTCAGTGCTTGAGTAATACGGTCTAACTATCACTGTAAGATGAAGTATGAAGTTTCCTACGTGAAAATGTCTTTGTAAATATTAAAAGACTGTCTATTAAATTAAGGAGGTCGCATTACAGTAGATACAAACGTCCAAAACTAGGACAAAAAACTTTTAACCATCAAACTAGATTAAGATTCAAACTCAAGAGGATGAAGATGTGAATTATTTTCGTATTTTTTCATAAATTTGAGTCAGGTTAAACATTGTCCAAATTCTGGTATCTCATACCAATCATTTCCTAATTGAAACTCAAAGAAAATTCAAGGACGTTAAGGAGGGAATTACCAAGGGCTTATTTCATCTTAATCCAAAATGATCATTAGGGTTCACCCTCAAACTCATACACGATTGATTTCGGAATTATTGACCTTGCACGAAATAATTTTGTATTTATCCGTTGTGTATCCAGTTTTCTGTTTTTCTGTGTTCAGATAATTTAGAAATCGAATATTTTAGATTCAGTAAACACACGTCGTGTGTACAGACTGATGTTTGATCAATGGTTTTCAATAATCCATTTAAATGTTCAAAAAAGCCAATTATTAATTGGTGACTTACTTCAAGTTGAATTCTTTAGAATTCTTCTGAAATCTTCTGCTTGATACAGTAGGTCACCAAAGTGATGTTGAGTGTGAGCAAGTACTCATCAATTACATTCAACAAGTATCATGCTTTAATTGTATTTGACTATATACTAGTGATGAAATATTGACAACTAATGTGAAATCTGGATGTTATACCATCCATACCATTTGAATCAGCAAGGATTGACTTTTTATGTGTTTTAATTTAGATCAACGTTAAATATCTCATATATTCACTATGAGTTAGCTTGAATTGCTTTCATATCTAAATTTTACCTTTAATTTTTTTTATATTTCCCATATTAAGTTGTACCTTCGAGCAGCTGGTCTGTAACACCTTATTTAAATGAATTTAGGGTAGGTTAGTTTCTTTATTTATTGATAATGAATCGAAAAATGACCTGTAGAAATCTTTTAAAATACTTTGACAATTCATTTAATTGTATATCTAAGAACAAGCATTATGAGTTAAATCTTTGTTAACCATGTTCAGAAGCATAACTGATTAGACTCTATTGTTGGATTCAGGTGTTGTTAATTGTACGAGTGTGAATATCTACATTGCTATTATATTTATAAGTAGGGTTGATCAGTCTATATATGTGAACCAGCTCTACGAACATACATTTCGATTTGTATTTACAAATTGACTATATTTTGGATAGTAGTTGAAAATACAATTAAGAATGCACGTTCCTATCTATTTAGTAGTCAGCCTAATGCACTTGATTTGTGTTGGCGTTTAGACTCATTAGAAATTACTTAGACAACCAATGTAGACATCAACAGATAGACCCAGTTAATGAGTCCTTAATAGGACAAAACGTTCATGGTCGTCTACATCAATAATTATTACCAAACAAATCAGCTTATCTACCTGTATATTATTGATTTTTTAGTTATTTTTCTCAACATTTGATGCTATTGACACAGAATTTATTAAGAACTAACATCCCATTGTAGTACACGATTGTTTTAAATCCCTACAATATTGACGTCTTTGAGATAAATATTCAACCAAAACAATTATGGAATCACATATTTTCAAATAATGTACTCTACTGGCTTTAGATTTTTGGCTCATATTGAATCACGCAGTATTACTATTATTATTATTATTATTATTATTATTATTATTATTATTATTATTATTTTAAATATATACTTACTTATTTACGCCTGTTACCCCTCGTCGAGTAGCATAGGCCGCACACTAGCACTCTCCATCCAACCCTGTCCGGGGAAACCCTTTCCAATTGTTTCCCATTGCTACCCATCCCTTTCATGTTCGCCTCTATTTCCCTACATAATGTATTCTGTGGTCTTCTTTTCCATTTTCCTTCAGGATTCCAAATTAGCGATTGCCTCGTGATGCAGTTTGGTGATTTCCGTAATGTATGTTCTATCTACTTCCATCGTCTTATCCTAATTTCCATATCAGCTAGAACCTGGTTTGTTCTCACCCAGAGTAGACCGTTACTGATGGTATCCCACCAACAGACATTGAGTAACTTGCGTAGACGATTGTTCATAAATACTTGTACATTTCGTTGATGGTTGTAGTAGTTCTCCACATTTCAGCTCTGTATAGTAGAATTATCTCGACAATCGTACTGAAGATTCCGACTTTGATGTTGGCTGATAGAAAGTTGTTATGAGTTTCATATGTTTTTCCATTGTAGGAATGTGGTCCTTGCTTTGCCGATTCTTGCCTTCAAGTCGGTATCACATTCTTCTTGTTTACCGATGATGCTCCCCAGGTGCATAAAAGATTCCACCTCTTTCAGAGCTTCTCCATCAATTGTGACTAGGTTGATAATTCTCCGTATTATATTTGAGGACCCTGCTTTTCCCTTGTGTATGTTGGAAACCCACTGATGCAGAGAATGCTGCTACACTGTTTGTCCTGACCTGCATTTGTTCGTGTGTATGTGCTAGAAGGGCCCAGTCATCTGCGAAGTCCAAATCGTCTAGTTGCATCCAACCTGTTCATTTTATCCCGTTTTTCCCTCAAATGTCGAGGTCTTCATAATCCAGTCTACCACCAGAACAGAAAAGGTTGATTAAACAGGCTTGTCTAATTCCACTCCTTATTTGGAATACATCAGTTAGCTGTTTTCCATGCACGATCATGCACTGTAGTCGGTCGTATGATTTCCGGATAATGTTGACAATCTTCTCAGGAACTTCGTAATGTCGAAGAAGTTACCATAATGTTTTACAGTCCACACTGTCAAACGCCTTCTCATAGTCAATGAAGGTGATGTTTAGTGACGAGTTCCACTCAACTGACTGTTCAACGACGATCCGTAGTGTCGCCCTTTGGTCTGTGTACGACCGATCCTTACGGAATCCAGCCTGTTGATTTCGAAGTCGGATGTCTACTGAATTTTTCATCCAGCTCAACAACTATCCGTTGAAAACTTTTCCTGTTACTGGCAACAGTGTGATGCCTCTGTAATTCTCACATCTGCTCAGATCTCCTTTCTTTGGTATCTTGATGAGGTATAGTTCTTTCCAATCCTTCGGCACTTGTTCTCCCACTTAAATCGCCTTAAGTAGAACGTGGAACATGTTTTCAGTTACCTCCATGTCTGATTTTAGTGCTTCGGCTGGTATACTGTCAAGTCCTGCTGCCCTCTCACTCTTGATTTGCCTGATGATCATGCTGATTTTTTTCGGTCGTTGGTAAAGTGACATATGTAGGAAGGTCTGTGTGTGTTGCATCGTTTTGAGTGGGTTCAGTGGTGATGATGCCTTATTCGAGGGTTTCTCAAAGTGTTCTCTGTTCTTGAATCTTAGTGATTGTATTGCTTTATTTGTCCTTGACCGGTTTCTCTGGTTTACCATATTTCCCTGTCAATTTCTTCGTGGTATCATATAATTGTTTCATATTTCCTTCTCTCGCGCCTTTTACCGCTGTCGTTGCTGGCTCTTCCACGTATCTGTACTTGTCAGCTCTAATGTTCCTCTTCACTTGCTTGTTTGCTTCAGTGTATTCAACCAGTGTCTTGACTTTCTCTGTTCTTTATCGGCTGTTGTTAATTGCTGTCTTCTTTCTCTTCCTTTCTTGAATCTCGGATCGATAGAGATCCATTTCTTATGGTGATGCTTGTCCCAGAACGCCTTGATACATCGAAGTTATTGCTTCTCTGATTTCCATTCAATCGTCCTTCATAGTAGTTTCCTCTTCTTTGAGTAGATTTTGTGAAGTTTAGGTCCTCTTGTTGAGAGCTATCTTGAATTTGCCGAGTTTGTCAGGGTATCGAAGGTAGGCTGTATTAAACCGTTGTAATAATGTCTCCCCGATGGTCCATTCCCTCCTTAGCTTGAATTCCATCTTAGCAACCACCAGCTAGTGGTGATCTGAAGCTATGTCAGCTCCTCTCCTGCTTCTCACGTCATCTATTGACCATTCCAAATTTTTTGTTGATACACATATGATCTGTCTGTTTCTCCGTGGAGTTATCCGGTGAGGCCCATGTGGCTTTGTGTATGCGTCTCCGTGAAAATATTGTGCCGCCCACAACCTATTTGTTGAATGCACATAGGTTTCCAAATCTCTCCCCATTTTCATTTTTCTCTCCCAGTCCATGTGGTCTCATGATATCTTCATATCCGACGTTATCCACTTCGTCTTTGATGTTTAAATCTCCTATCAGGATAGTGAGATCCTTACTTGGGCACTTTGCTATGATTGACTGAAGCTTATCGTGAAAATTATCTTTATTGTAATTGTTGCTATCATTAGTTGGTGAATAACATTGGATTACATTCATTGTGATTCCCTCCTTCTTTGCTTTAAGGGATGCTTTGATGATCCTGGATCCGTGAGATTCCCACCCTATAAGTGCATTATTTGCTTCTTAGAACAGCATCAGAGCAACTCCCTGAGTGTGTGTAGCATTTCCCTCCTCGTGACCGGAGTACAGCAGTATCTCTTCCAAATTTAATCCTTTTTGTCCAGTTTGAGTCCAATCGGTTTCGCTGATTCTGAGAACCACCAAGTTGTATCTCCACAGCTATTTGTATGATCCTCCCGGTCTCCCACATTCCACATAAGCTATTCGATGCACTTACATATCAAAACACTAATAGCTGAATTTAAATTCTTAGAAACATGATTTTCAGTACAGAAACTGCAATTTAGCTTTGAATATCTAAAAAATTATGTATATTTTCAAAGATAAATTCGAACTTTGTTTTACTAGAAATATGATACACTACTTGAGCAGTGATGCATGTGGTTATATATAATATCGTTCGCTTAAGTATGTAGAATATATAAATGATCATGCATTTTAAAGATTTGTAACTCAATGTTTCTTCATACTAATGTACTTTCCGTATTATACTGTAAATATCATCAGTATTGCCGAAAGTTTAGCTGGTTAGACAAAATCATACCCCATGATAAAATTTATTCAGTTTGCTGTAACTTTTGAATAACAAATAATGCGTTTGTAGTTTATTTTCTTCACAAATTAACATCAGTTTGTGTAGCGAAGAAAATAAAGGAAACTAGACAACTGTCTTGTCCTATCATGAGGCTTTTAAAGAATCCATACTCAGAATTAGTTCTAGCGAAAATTTGCGACTGATTGAGTTAAGATTTTTTAGTGAAACAGTCATTAATAATGCCATTGGATGGTCATCGCACTGTTTCTCGAACTGATTGAAGTTAGAAATGTGAACTATAAAGTCTAAATATCAAACATTTGTTGCGAAATCTAAGGGTACTGAATTCAATTCCTCTAGTGTCGTTGTTTCGTACTATTTGGGAACATCATACTGTGGCAAAATATCTCTGCAATACTTTCTGGTTTTCCAGTTTCTCAGCTGATATCTATCAATGATTTAAACCGATTTCCTTAAAACTTATTCCATTGTATTATCACTATTAGGTTGTTTTTCGTCTGCTTAATATCTAAATTCATTAGGAGGAGGCATTGTATCTTACATTCTATGAATTATATATATTGAATTTTCATAGTTGAAATCATGAGGCTAGACCACCATGGAAAACCTGGAAGCACTGGACGGCCGTTTCGTTCTATTATGGGACTCCTCAGCAGTGCGCATTCACGATCCCGCCTCGCGAGATTCGAACACAGAACCTACCAGTCCCGCGCCAGAGCACTTAACTCATGGTTTAAACTATGAAAATACTGAAATCTCCATAAAACCCGTTCTGATATATTGAATTATCAATGGAATTACGTCGTAATAAATGAATGAAAACTGTTTTTTTATATAATAGGGAAAGACCACTACCTTTAATGACCAATTCTATATATTCTTTTAAATAACAATCAATATTAGCTAGACAAATAAACTACCTTTCTAAATAATTACCTTTCAAAAACTGATTGAAAGTACAACATACTACTTCTATAAGTCATTTTAAAGAAAAAAAGTTAATTTTGTGGTATATCTTTATAGGCATCATCAATATCAAGTCGTACAGATTCACTTACACGTTTACTTACAGTAAAACGTAACTCTTATCCAACAAGTGAATATGATAATACAATGGAAATATTAATTTTAAAATGTTGCAGTACTACGAATAATGTTACAATGGATCCAGCATTTGCTAATATTGTGACAACAAGTCGAATTAATGTTCTACTTAAATCTCGTTTAATTGTTAATAAAGGTGAAGAATTACCAACAGGTTAGTTAATCATTGTCTAAGAGTTATGACTTGTTAAGTTAATTATGTATTTAAATGGTGTGTATTTCTCTGAATTGTGGTGTAACATATTTACCAAGTAAAGATCTATGTACTCGCCTCAGAGTCACCCTTTATGCTTAAAGGTTAGTGATAGTATTCTGCTGCCCAAACTGAATTAGAGGTACCAAGACCTGGGGAATTGGACACGACCACCTGAGTGCGTTAGTTCATATAAGCTTTCTTCTCAATTTTCATAATGTAAGTCAAAATGATATAACCTGTCTTTCGGATGCCTTTTTTAATAAGTATAACAGAGGTCAACGAAATAATTTCTTCACGATAATGATTTGTCGTAATTTGATTTAGCATTAAACTGGTTCTGATATGAATTGACATTTTGTTCTTTTTTCTTAGATCAAACATTTCCCTATCCTGATCCTGTATGGACAAACATTTCTCCCTGTCCCTGTGACCTAACCATTAATACATGTGACCTTGGATGTCCATGCGATAAAGTAAGTGTATCTAAACACGAAAATACTTTAAAAAAGATACATAACTGATTAGGTATTCGTGTCACATTGATTCCGTAAATCTTTTTACCAAAATTAGTTCATTAGGAAAGAATTTTGGACCATACCTTGTTCAAGATCATCATCGCTTTCCGATATTTCACTTTGATAATCAAATATTTCTAATCAAATATAAGTCTAAAAGTAAAGCAAAATATTGTATAATTTTGCCATAGCATCAAACTGATGATAAACATAGATAGGTCGTCACCACAACTCGTTAAAGTTAACTATATTATCTTACTTTGCTCATGTTTATGATGTATTAATACCATCTTGAAGTTTCATTACAGGTTCAAACCTACGTAAAACTCAATGCAGTTATCTTGTGTGTCAGTTTATTTTCGAAAAAAACCATTTATCTGGAATTTTTTGACTGTGGATTTTATTCGTTCTGAAGGGTTTCTGGCTTTTCGAAAAATGTTCTTTTTAGTTATATATCTACAATTATGTATAAATTACCATGTGATTACTTTTAAGATATTTGATCTCATCCAAGTAACAACATGAATGTAATATAAACTTCGATACATTATTTGTTAATAATTAAAATTAGATTAAATTTTAATGTTCAGTTTAGTATAGCGATGTCTCTCATTACCATCTATGGGTAAGAAGATCCAAACTATTCAACCTTTAAGTTAATTAAATAATGGTAGGCATTATTATCATAGGTTTCTACAACATCAAATAAATAACTCAGTCTTACTGTTCATTGAACATGAACTCAAAATTAGCGATCATACTATCTCAGTACCTTTAAGTAGTAGTATGACAAAGAAAAGTTCTATAAATAATCTGAATTGTTGAATTTATTTCTGCTCAACTTAATGCGATTTGTGTGGTCAAGCGATGTTTACTCCGTTGAATGATTTATAAATTTAAGGACTCTTCTCGAAATTATGTAGTCCAATATTTCTTGTTTCTTATCAGATGTGTTCTGTTAATCAGTCTACAGTCACGTCATCAAGCTTTTTTGGTGATTATTTCAATCTACCAAATTATCATAGCTGTGATTCAATGCTAGATCGAATTGAAAATCAAGAAAATAAAATTGATTTAATCAATCGAGGTTTCACAAATTTACCAGATTATCATCCACTTCTATGTGTTGCTGTTGATAATAGTGCAGTTCTTGGAAAATATCACAGTTCACTTTCACCTGCTCGTAGTCTTAGTGACTTTAATAAGAATGTTAAAAATGCTAAAATTGAATATCCATTAGATCAAATTAGTGATTCAGGTCTTCGAGAAGTTATTGTTGAACAAAACAATGAAAAACAACGTTCATATATAAATGGTGATCCATTACTTTTAATGATACAGCCAGTAATTTTAACATCTTCAGATGATCCAACTATTCTCGTTAGTCAATATAGTGAATATTTTGTTTTACCCAATGAAATGAACTGTGATTTAGAATCAAATATTCCTGTAGAATATCTTTCTGATCGAAATACTTATAGATGTCCCATTGTTTTGTCAGTCATGCAATGTCAAGATGCAATCAATATAAAAAACAATATAGGAATTGGTAAGCCTTATTTTGTAATTAATACTAACAACGAGTCTTAATTTATAAAGCAGTAACGCTAATGTATATATATATTGCTTTTCTACTATTTTGATGAACTTTTGTCTTGCTAAACCTCTAATCTTAATTATTAGGATACTTTATGACTGTTTGTTGTATGTATACCCACTTCAAATGAATAGTCTACTGCTGAATCACTATTTTGAATAGCTCACTTGCAACACTATTGATTTTGATTGTGGGTGAAATAGATGTGAATCCAAATATAAAATCACTTTTTACAATATTACAGGTATATTTTGCTGATGAGTCCTAACAAACACGAAACCACGGCCTATAGTTTCCTACCGTTTGTCTTCGAACGTCGATCATTGAATTAAAAAAATTGGACAATAGAGTCATTATCTTTAGCTGGTATATTTCAACTTAGTCGAGAGAATTCAAATAGCTCTAAGGACTACATAGCAGGACATTGATTACTACTAAATGGTTAATAACAGTAACAATCTATATTTAGTCAGCTAGAGAATGAGAAGAATTAAAGAAACAGTTAAATGTATCTATCATTTATTAAACAGACAGAATAAACTAACGTTTATCAATTGAACTCAATCTGTTTCAGTATCATTAGTTTGAGGAGTTTATGGAAATTATTGAATTTTATTGTTTATTTCAAGGACTAACCTTAGTTAAACAGTCATTAATAACCATGAAGCACTAAACAGTCGTTTCGCCCTATTATGAAGATCATCAGCAGTGCACACTCATAACCTCATAGAATATTGAATTCAGGACCTTCAGATCTCGCGTTTAAAGTTCGACTGTTAGAATTTTAAGTTATCATCTAATAGTTTTGTTCTAAGTTTCATCGATTTGCGATTTTACTCAACCGTCATCCAATGTCATTGTTAGTTGCAGGAATACCATTCTAGGACCAAACAGTTATTCAATACTTTCTGATTTCCAATAATTGTTGGATTAAGGTCAGTCTGTGATGGAAGTTATGAGAAAAAACAGTTAAAGTAAAAAATGTTAAGTAAATATAAATTGAACCTTTGTATACTTAAAATACAATTTTTCATATACACATTTCATGACATGATTAGGCTGGGGACCAAGAACACTATTGGATCGTTTATTTGCACGTGCTTATTTAATTGATGATTTAGCAATATCAAGATATTCTGAACCAATATTTCGTTTACGCATGAATCGTTTACGTGATGATACACCAGTCCCAGTAAAGGTAGATTACTTATGTTTAAAGCAAAATGAATTACAAAACTTTACAATGTCTTCTCAGGTATGTGATAATCTAGTTTTTTTTTATTATTTATCATTGATTAGGTATTATTTATGTGTCGTAAATTGAAATATTGATCTATGAGATTCTTTAAATTTTGGTGACAAGTATTAGTAAGGATTTTCAATCTTCCATTGTTCACATTTAGGATTGCAACTGACCAATGTCTGTTGCTATGTGTACATCCTGAGCATACCACCTCCACACAATTTTATGCTACAAGTTTTAGTATGTATAGCGTGTGGCTAGCAGTTTATTCTAGGTCATGCATTTTGTTCTATTTGAAGTTCATCACGCGAATATACCTTCCTCAGCTCCAATCCCCAATATCGACGAAACAATTCAAACTCTTACTAATTGGGATACACACATCATACCCTTTAATAAAATTAGTGACTATCTCAAATCAACAGCTCAATAGATAGTGCTTTGTACTTTTAAACTGAAAAATACTAGTGAAAAGACTAAAAACGGTCATTGTAGTTCTGATGGACTGTGATAAAGTACGAATTGACTGAGGATTTATAAAGATTCGCTTAAAGGTTTCATGAATCGGTCACTAATGATGCAACTTTCAGTATGGTGGGTTCAAATTCAAATGCGCGAAAATGCTTAATGACGACTTCAGAATATCATTTATAGCCTAATTCTTGTTAAATCCATATTAAGTATTAAATTTCTTAACATCTAGTATGTTTTAAAATACTTGTTTGAAATTTAAACGTCGTACAATATCCGAAAAACTCAAGTGTTTTCTACCTTTCCTTGCTGTATTTTGATGTTTCTTTAGTCAAATACTAATGTAGATCAAATAAATCAAACCGGTTTTTTCAATCATAACTGTACATATAATGCGACGTCTAAATTGACTTCATGTATCCCATTACAAAATTCAGTGAAGTCAAATCCTTTAGTCCCAACTACCTGTCCCTGGCATAATGGCTTCGATCTTCCACCTGACATTGATTTATTGAATAATATGTGCAACAATGTTGTATTGAAAGTGGATTATAAGTGAGTTCTTTCTCTTTTATATATGGAATGTTTTCTAGACAAACTTATTTCCTCAAATAAAAATGTACATGGATAATAAAACATAAATAATTATCAGAATAGAGTCTTGTAGAGATGATAGAATGTCCATAGTTTTTGAATCACGAACTGATCCTAATTAGACCATCATTGAAAACCATGAACCACTGCACAACTGTTTCATCCTGGTATGAGACACCACAAAAGTTCACTTCAACTACTTTGACCAGGTTATTGGGTCATATGTAATAGCATATAATACGATTGGGTCATAAACTCACTCGAATTCCACTCACTAGATCCTAGGGTCATCCTACAAGCAAATGTTATATTTCATGATGTTTTAGAATCCATATAAAAATGTTCTATCGAGCAACATGAAGGCTTGCCGTGGATACATTCAAGAATTGTGTCTTTTGTCATATTCCACCATGTCCACTAGCATCGGTCACCGAATCTCCAGATATCTTTCAAAGGATCGTACCAGCTAATCATATTAGTTAAATAAGTTAAACCAAAATCATGTTGTTTCATTTGTTGTAGCCATAACTGACCATCAAAAATCTCACCATAGTTATTCCCAGATTGATGAAATCTCGAATGTACGATATTGCCACTAAACGTATAAAATCATTTTCTGTTAAACAAACACTTAAAAAGTCTCAGGACTTGTACAGATCATTCAAATTAAAGCGAGCTGAAACTCTCAATCTAAATCTTTGCGCTTTCACACATCTATCTATCAGTAGTATTTTGATATTTTAAATAAATGTTTGCTAACTAGATAGTCGAACTTCACAGCTATCACCTTTAAATTAAAGGTGATCAAATTATTATAATTTGGAATTGGATTCTGTAAAAAGTTGACGTCATTCATGGAACTTCTCTAGATGAAACACTTCTTCTCAGCATATTTCCTATAGTTGATGTTTCTTTGGAGATTATTGAAGAATAATCTGAATGAAAGCTATAATTTGGTTTTTCTTCTCTTAACTAAACCTGAAAGCTTTTTCTTTACCTAGAAAATCACACAATTTAAACAAGATTATTTGGTAACCATCTTTATACCTTTTCTTTATAACAGATTTGTTTGGTCCAATGGAAGTATACAACAAGCATTAGCTCAAGTATATTTAGCCAACTTACCTGTAACTAGCACTGAAACAACATATTATCAGGAATATTCTGTTAAATTTATTCATACTACTGAAGTAGACAATGAAATTGACACAAAGCTGCCTTCACACCTTTATGGTAAGTTGAAAATAATGATAAAAGAAATCTGAATTTCGACTAAGTAAAATAGTTTTAACAGTCTGATTCTATATTATTGAATTTGCAATATATATATTCAGGAGAAAGTATACCATTGAAAACTTCTGGTGAATTTCCTCTATACCCCCAGACGTTGTATTTTACCGGGTGTCAAGATTGGATTATCAGTGTCTTAAAAGAACTTATTTTGATTTTTATCAAGTACTATGATGGGTTATCTCATTTTGGAAAATTCAGTTAAACTAAACTTGTGTACGATCCATCTATTATTCGCATTTTAGGATGAAACTTAAAGCTTCTAAATCTGTAATTAACCAAAACGAACAGATTTTCGAAATGAGTAGTACTTTTGTTTTCGGAGTATCAAAAATAAAACCAATGAAAGTAAGTTAATGATCATCAAAATAATGAATGATTTCAGTCAATCAATTGCGTGCCGAAACCTTGTAAGTCTTTTATTTCGACTTCATTGATGTGAAGGAACCGGCTACTCTTCCCGACCATTATGGTATCATATTTCAACTTGACTGATCTTTGGCATTTGCTAGCTACTTCCTGTGGAGTAATGCTGTTCACGCTTGCTTGTGATTCTTGTTCAGATATCAGTATCCTCGAGTGAATGCAGGCTACAGACCAATACGAGGCATCTAAACTGGTGTTCTGTCATGGAAGACAACTTGAAGCTCTCCTATTCTCAGTTCACGATTCCTGTATGTTTCACCCAGTCATCTGGTCCTTTCTTTATCTTCAAGCATTGGTAACGGATGTTAAATATAGATGGCTATTCTCCAAAGATATGAGACAGAATTTTATTTGTTTCATCAAAACTAAAGTCCTATGGGTTTCTTGAAAGAATAAAGTTACTATAGCGTTCATGTTTCTGCGTTCCAAGTTTTCTTAAACGTATTTTGACTTTTGAAGCATCATCCAGTCTGCAAAGATCAATATGGAATAGACCTTCATATTTCTTGAACCATGAATCAAAAGTAACACCTGCTAGACCATCAAAGTTAAGTTCATCTATGGCCTAATGACTGAATCGGTATGTTACTTGTAGTTCACCAGAAGCGGGGTTTTGCTAGAACAGGCATATTTTTTGTATAAAGGCTTCCATGATTCTTATTCGAGACAGTTCAAACCGTTTCTCTTGACGCTCTATATAAGCTTCTAGTTGTTCAAAAGAAATTTCCATTGTAGTTTTCTCCATCGCCACTGATAAATCATCTGACTGAACTATTGAATTGATTTCCTAAACTTTTCTAATAACCCTAATCTAAATCTACACTTTAGACGAAAGAATAATTTGAAAATGAAAATCTTCTGGATATTCAACTACAAGAATATACTTCATTCGATTCCCATCAACGTGACTTAACATTACTTTCAAATTTTCTATTTGAAATCATCATCATTTCATGATATGTTTTCCTCCTCACAATACCGTTTTATATTTTTAACTGAATATGCTTTATTCTCAAGCTTTATAAGTCTAATTTATATCTTGTATAGTTTAACTTATATATGATGAACTATATTACTCACTCCAATCATATAAAGTTATCGAATTTTCCAATCAGTATATAGAGTCACCCACATATAACCTTTCGTTTGTCTTTCAAATAATGATAATATTATTAGGCCAGATTTTAAACCTGTTTCTTGAGCCTTGTAGTTAGGCAAATAGTTAAAATGTATCAATCATTAAAACATCGTACAAACTCCCATAATTACCGTTGCCATATATATAAATATTACAATTAAACCAAGGCGGTCTGCTTGAATATCTGGGCTACCTGTTCCTGTCATCTAGATATTTCAAAAGTTTATCTAATTTTGTTTGTTTTAATACATCGTTATGGCTATTAATCGCATAACCTATCCAGGGGCTTTTGTGAAACGTTTAAAACTCTTCACCGTAAAATTTAAAGAAGAGCCCAATCAGAGACATGGTGGCTGCTGGCAATATGCATCGAAAAGAATATACATTATTCAGATATCGAGTCCTGAACTACTAACTTCTAACTGGTGATTACTCAATATTTATCTCCAGGATAGCTCAGACAATAAAAAAGGAAACTTGTTGAAACAGTTTGTGCTGAGAATTCTATATTGTACCAAAAATATAATATTGAATAAAGGCTTAAATAATGATAATGGTAATAAGGGGGAGAAGGAGGAGGAAGAGGAAATCAACAGGAATTTATAAAAAAAATATATTACAACAAGACAAGAAGAATAAGTATAAAAATTGATCAATGTCTTTGAAATGATGAAGAGAAAATGTACTTATCAGAGATCAGATAGAGTGTATTGTAATTTTGAATCAAGTAACAAATTGAACAATAGAATTGATAAAGAACCAATGATAAAATAACATACTACTTATTTAAGTAACATCATATTTACATATCGATATTTATTCTTTTATTATTTTTTTGTAGTAAAATTCCTATCAGTTTTTACATAAGATGTTGAAATATGTCCATCTAATTTCTTCTTTATAAGAACAGTAAATAAATTGATGAAAGAAACTAAGCAGCTATATTGTAGTGAACAAAAACTCAAGTGGGGAATATCAATTTATTATTCAATGCATAATTTTAGAGTTGGATTATGAAGACTTCGACATCTGAGAGGAAACACGGAATACAATAGACATCTCAAAATCAGTTAGATGATTTGGACTTCGCAGATGACCTAGCCCTCCTCTTTCATACACACGAACAAATACAGACGAAAACAACAAATGTAGCAACATTCACGTACCTGGGAAGCATCATTGATAAACAAGGAGGATCGGATGCAGATGAAAAGGGTAGCATTTCTACAATTGAAGAACATATGGAACTCAAAACAACTGTCAACTAATTTCAAAGTGAGAATCTTCAATACGAAAGTGAAGACAGTCCTATTGTACAGAGCTGAAACGTGGAGAACTACTACATCCATCGTCAAGAAGGTACAAGTATTTATAAACAGTTGTCTATGAAAAATACTGAACATTCACTGGCCGGATACTATCAGCAACAGTGTTTTATGGGAGAGGACAAACCAGCTTCCAGCTGAAGAGGAAATTAGAAAAAGACGTTATAAGTGGATAGGACACGTTGAGGAAATCACCAAACTGCATCACGAGGCAATCCTTAACTTGGAATGGTGATGGGAAACGGAAAAGAGGAAGGCCAAAGAACATATTACGCCGGGAAATAGAAGCCGATATGAAAAGGATGAATGCTAACTGGAAAGAACTGGAAAGGATTTTCGAGGACAGAGTTATTTGGTAAAATGTGTAAAACCATACACTAAATACCTCATTTTCAAATTTTTCATCAGTTGTCTCAAACTTAATCGTTTCTTCATTATTATTACAATTACTCTTTATTTACATTACTATTCTCAATTATTTGATCTTCTCAACCTTCTGCTATTAGGCATTCCATTTTTGATTGGTGTTACATACTACTTTTATTTGTCGACATAAATAGCATACATCATTTATTTATTTATCATACGTCATTTATTTGAAAGAAAGTGGATTTTAAAATTTTGACATTTAACCATTTTCATATTCTGTAAATAGTTGACATTATAGTATGCTTTGCTGATGACCTTCAGCAGGTTTGGAATTCCATGCAAAACTCCAACAGCTACTTGCCAACTGAATTCTGATGGATTTATCAGTAAAATATATTTTAACCACTGTTGACAACGTAATTCTATTCATCAAAGTGAATTTCTTTTTTTGTTTACTTTCTATGTAAATCATTCTTATCAAGGTTATGAGTTGGATGATTTAATTGTAACCGGTCAGGTTACATCAACATCTACTCAACGTTTCCTAGTTCAAACAAATGATGAAACTAATATCAAATCGGGTGTTATGAAAACTGGTAAGAAATAAGATTTTCATAAACTTTTTCATTGATAATATGGTTCTTTCCTGCAAAGAGTACCGATTTTTAGTGTATCACTTCAATTATTGTTTTCTTCCTGGATATCAACCTATAAGGGAATTTAATAAGACTTGTATTCAGTTATCTGTTTTAAACTGAGTAATGAAACAGCCTATTAATAGACCTTGTCATGATGAAACTAACTTTAACGGTTAATGAATATCGCCTCAAGAACTAATAAATATAGAGGGTGTTGAATAGTTTCTTTATTTTAGTTCAAGACTCCTTAATAATGTCAGTCATTCTGTAACAAGTTTACGATCTCCAAACTACGAGTCAGACACTTGTCATCCAGGTTGAGATACAAAATTACCCAAAAATAAATAGCTTTTATAACTATCGGTATTCGGGACTGACTTGGATTATTCTTTCTTTGTAATATAAACTTCTTGAAAGAATAGCTCGATATTGTTTACATTCACACATCGATCAGCAGTTAATGCCATTCCAGTGATTAGCGTTCGTCCCACTACAGTCTAATGGGTGACATTTTGCCATTTTAAGCTATCAATGTTGGGTTCAAGTTTTGTTGGGAAGTTTAACAATGAAATTTAGGTACATAGAATTGATAAGCATTAAGTGCGATAAAATACGTGTTCCCCAGAAATCACTTGATAAACGCCTCGTTTTGTAATTTTATTATGGAAGTTTGAATTTCTTATTTTTGCCCCAAAAGCATCGATTTTCACTTCAAGTTTTTAATCGCCACCTGAATGGACTTCAAATGTCATTGATTGGTTTCCTCTTTTATTACGCTACTTTGTGACGTTTTTCAAGAACGTTTATTTACTGCATATTTACGAATGAGTTGTGTGCTTGTTCGTTTATGCTTCCGGCTGTTTGTGGAATATATAATTTGCCGGATGAATCTGACCTCCTCCCTATAGTTAGAAGGGTTGGGGTACAGTGAAATAGCCTGGCTTGTCCTGTAGTTGTGTTGCTGACTTTCGTTCCGTTCGCCGGTGACATCGTAATCTCTTCAAACGTAGCAAGATCAGAGTTCATAATAAATATTTTTCTAAAATAATGCTTATATCTAGATTCAGATTAAAAAACTGCTATACTTTATTTCCTTATTTCATTACTTTGTGTTTCGATTTTGTTTCTAATATAACTTATGACTTTGTTTTAATTAACCATTGGTCTAAAATCTTGACACACCTTCAGTCCGAATTCGAACCCTTAGTTTCTTTTTCATTGTCATTGCCACATTATTCTAAATTCTTTTGCTATATCTTGTTGATTTCATTTCGTTGTATAAATCAATAATGGTGACTGGAACCGACATAAATATATCCCAGGCTCTACGCTGATGCTGGCTGACCGAAAGAAATATCGGTAGTTTAAAACAAACGTCATATTTGATTATGACCAACTTGATTTCCCTTGATTAATTGCGTGACCAGTTATGTTAAGCTCTAAGCTTGTTTGTCACTATGTAAATCCATTTTTTTCAATTTTATTTGGCTATCCCCAGTTGTAATCTTGACTAAATTCTTTTAACGGTAAATTGTTGTCATTACCTTTTAGAGGATTTCATTTCTATGTGCTATTTTGATCAAATGATGATTCGCATTCATTTTATATTAGAATACTCTTAAATTAAAGAAAGTATTATTTGTTTAACTTCAGGCCCAGATATGTTATGTGAAAATTCAAAAGTTGATCAGCTTAAGTTTGGTAAAACTATGATCACATCCTGTCGTGTTCTTTTGGGTCTTAACGATTTTACAAATTGTGATAAACTAAGGTAAGAAATCAATTTTGTTTGTATTACACTAATCGCCAATTTTCACTTAGTTCGTGACAACCTACAAGCTATTTGTCACTTTGTTTTTAGTTTCGTGCAGAAATTTATAGGGTTCTATCCTATTCCCTATTGGTTCACTTAAGGCCGTCATTATAGTATACTTTCACTTAGATTGCTCCAAAATCAGTCGACATCAAATGTTCCGATCAACATAGGAAATAAAAAACCATGTTTATCGATAACAGAGCACATAGCTGAAACGGGACAACAAAACAGCTTTTGAAACGCTGTATGAAAATTTCCAAGAACGAATTCTCGGGTTTATAGAAACCTTATCTATTTGTATATTTATCCTCTTTACTTCAACCTTCATTTGATTGAAATTTATTAATTTTCATATAAAACGTCTTGACAGATAAAGGGTGACAAGATTGTTCGAAATGTATAGCGCAAATACATCACATTTTTCAGATCAACACCGTCTTTTCATTGTTCAATTAAAATTTATAAAACGGCCTAATTCCTTTATATATAATTTTGATTGTCAGGTATAACTTCTTCATTTCGGTGAGTGAATAACAGATTACTTAATAAAGCATAACTAATAAAACCGAACGGATTGATGGGATAATGACGAAGCAGTTGCGTAGTATTTTTCCAGATTTTTAACTAATGTTCTCTTTTGTAATAAAGATTGTCTTTATTTTAACTCTAGCTCGACAATTCAGTTGATAGAAGTTTTATTGGGAAACATTGATTCATTCAATCAACTTAGTCAAATTTATAGAGTAGGGGATTTGTCCTCTTAAGTTTGTATATTAATTGATTGATGAAATTGGAATATTTCTTTGTCTATTTATGAATTGATAGCAGAGACTTGTAATTCATCACATGGAGAATCTCAATACTACCGCTAATTCTGTTGATGTTCTTTCCAACTCCATCAAAAATATCAATAATAAAAGTACTACAATTGTCATGAACATTACTTGTTTATGTTTTTAGTACACACATATGTTAGAGGTAATTTTAAAGAAAAACAAACAAATACAATAAGAGTTGTGAACAAATACATACAGTTTTAAATTCACTTAGCATTGTTTATTTGAACCTTCCCATTGATGTTTAGGACTGTAACTTGTACTGGGTACTGGGTTGGAGTCCCAGAGTGAACATCAACTTTGAAATGCAGGTACACCCAGTTAACGAGTCTCAAATAGGGCGAAACGCGCGTCCTGGATTCCACTGCTAGCCACTATCCATCTTTGCTTAAAAATACATACAATGGTTAATTATTAGCGTAGGTGTCTCACGTATCCTAATGACACTATAGACACTTGATTCAGTCAGTTACTGTGATGAGTGAATGATTCAGACTGGAGTGGATTTGTTCAGTATATTATGTCAACTCATTGAATGAATTCATCCAGTAGTAACTGTGATAAGTTATATGTGAATGAATGATACGATATTTTGAACATGAATCACTGAAAAAGTTTCTAATATGAATGTTAAAGATTAGGATGGAGGTGTTGTTTTTTTATTGACTGTTTGAATGGTATTTCAGCTCTTCACTGTTATACCATTTTGAAAATACAGATTCTTATTCCATCACCGAACCTAACCGGTCCTGCGGTTGTTCTAGCATCTGTTTGAGTACTATTTCATTTTACTAACTTTCCATACCTGATACACTCACGCTCACTAACTCGTCAAACACTCTACATATACCACAAGGGGGGTTTGTGGAGATTTTAGCAATTTTATATAGTTCAAATCATAAGTCCATTGAAGCTGGACCACCATCGAAAATCTGGAAGCACTAGACGGCCGTTTTGTCCTACTATGGGACTTCTCAGCAGTGGGCATCCACGATCCCGCCTCGCGAGATTCGAACCCAGGACCTACCAGTCTCGCGCCAGAGCACTTAACCGATAGACCACTGAACCGGCATCCATTGGTGTTAATGTCTAACCTCAACCAATCCACGAAATTGCGCGACCATCTTCCATTGTACTGAGGTAGATACCTGTCTCTATCTGACATGGATTAGCTCCACTGGTCACGAATTCTCACTAGAACTCCAGGAATTACCTCATGGAGCCAATCACTCGTGAGCATATGATTAGTATCACAAGGGGGTCTGTGGAGATTTTAATAATTTTATATAGTTGACATCGTGAGTCCCACAATAGGACGAAACGGCCATCCAGTGCTTCCAGGTTTTCAATGGTGGTCTAGCTTCAATTCACTCATGATCTCAACTATATAAAACTTTACACATATCTTTTTATTCACAAACAAAAACATCAAAAAATCGCAATCAATCCAATGCCATCTAGTCAATTATTTTCATTATCCACAATAATATTAATTGATACTTGTCGCACTGTTTAACACAACATTGTTCAGCCTTTCTACTTATTTACAGATCGTTAAATTGCCAGTCACACTATTAGATAATTTCACCGTATATCATCTATGTGTTAGCAACAATCTACATGGAACACATTTCATATAGCCTAACAATCCCCGCTGTATTTGTTTTGTTCAAGATTATCAAAAGAGTTAAACAGATGTCGAAATCTTAAAATAATTCTCCCTACTAAATTTCTAGTGACTGTTTATGATGCATGATTATAAAAAATTAGAAGTGAAAAACAATCTATTTTAGATAGATTTAGGAAAATACTACTGAATAAACCACATTCAACAGTTCTCATTATACATTATCCTATTATCTATAATAGATTATTATTATTATTATTATTATTATTATTATTATTAGTAGTAGTAGTAGTAGTAGTAGTAGTAGTAGAAGTAGTAGTAGTAGTAGTAGTAGTAGTAGTAGTAGTAGTAGTAGTAGTAGTAGTAGTAGTAGTAGTAGTAGTAGTTAATTATACTAAAACTGGACATATGTGTATGTGTTCTTCTTTTTATAGAAGTCTTATTATTGCAAGATTAAATCAATTTATGCCAAGTGAAGTAATTGCAACTTATCCACAAGCATCTAAAACTTCACCAGAGGATTGGATTTTTATACGCAGGTTAATATTATATTTCACTAAATATATTATTATTATCATCATTGTTCTTATAATCATTAGTAATTTAGTACTCATAAGTCAGTCAGTCAGTCACAACGTAGAACTTCGTACATACGTACATCAGTTCGAGTCGCCATACCACATTAGCACAGAGATGCAATTGTCGATTCAAATCCCATAGTGGTAGAAGTAGTAAGAGTATAAGCTTTAATGTGAAAGATTAGGGTTTGAAGATATTATTCAAGGAGTGTAATCTACTGAAATTAATTTGAAAAGAGAAAAAAATAGAGACATGAAGAATACAGAAGATTAGAATTTAGTAGAACACAAAGAGTGAATGCACTTTCGCCATTGCAAACGATGTTATGTTATGTTATGTGGTAAATTGTGAAAATAAACTACAAAATTATTTGATTTTCTTGTTTAAATCACTAAGCGACCTTAGATAATCATAAAAAAAACTAGAAAGCAGTAGACTTATTTTCTGATGGTACGGACCTCTTTTACAGTCTGTAGTGTAAATTTTAATAGTTTCCATAAATCTTTTATACTAATAATAATCATGTGATCACAAGTGATCAGTTTTAAGAAATGGTTTACGGTGAGTGAATCTGTGATCAGCTTGGTTTAACTATGTTGAATACGAGGCAGTTACTTATCAATGACAATGAAAAGTGGTTTTGAAACAATTAAAATTGATCGGAATTATAAATATGTACTATTGGGTGCTCACTCAGTGATGTAAATGTTAAGCGTACATTGAGTGATATGAATGTCCTGATTTCAATCCCCGGTGAGGACATAAGTGGAGTTGGGTGTGAAGTCTCATACATAGACAAAACAGCTGTTCAGTCATTCGTGATTTTCAGTGCTTGTCCAACTAAGCTCAATTCATGATGTGAAATATAAAACTCAACAAATTACACAAAGCGTTCATTTTTTAAGAGGGTTGTTCAAATCAAAAACTTTATACCGTAGTCAGATTTAAATTAAACAACTGAAATTGCAATAAAAAAGGGAGCTTGCGCTTTTTGATCTTCAATGATAGTCTAGTTAAAATCAGTCAGTGATGTAAACTGTCATTTATATGTCTTGGTTAAACTATTAATTATATGGATTGGACTTTTAACATAGCTATCGGTCAAATTATCTTATAGAATGAATACATGAACTTAATGTCTTTTTATAAGAAACAGTAATAACTTTGCATTAATCGGTGATTCAGTAATAAGCAATATCGTGTTGCTGGTTGATTTCTACAGGTTGAATTGGAATAATTTCAAATTACTGTGCACACTATTTACACCGTTAGCAGATTGAACGTAATAGTCCGCAAATTCTGAATTTAGGTTTTATATTGATAACCACTTGTCAGTAAGATTTATCTGTCCCCCTAAAAAATTATTGTTTTTTATATGCGTGCGAATCCTTGCTACTCAATGACACAGACACAGACGTTATTGCTAACCTATCTGTGGCTTATTAGATTTCTTATAGGCACAAAGTGTCTATATTAATAGGTTACTTGCTAAAAACTAATGTTTTAATGACCAATTTATAAAATTAGTGAAGTCCCCCCAATCTCTATCGATTAACTGACATCAAAGAGGAACTATAATTAGTGTAACACAAAGAACGCTATTACAGCGATATATTAGTAAGAACGAGCACAGAGAAGATTTTGAGACCACCATCGCATGAGCCAGTTTGTGGCATACGATTAGCTGATGCGCGTTGGTTGTCCTTGATCTCGACTGGGATCGATTATCTGTTCGATATTCAGTGACTCAACTGCCTAATGATTTGGCTAGGGCTTAGTGACATTTCACTGGCCCTACTCGGCAATGTTTATCTTTCGTGATCAGGATAATATAAGTATTCAATTTGTCAGTTTCATTTTATTAGATGTAGCAGAAGTTGAATAAAATCAGAATATGTAAGTATTAGTAACCAACTTACATTCAAGGTAATAAAAACTGCAAAACAGTTAACATTAAGTATAAGGAAGATCTTTAATTAAATTTATCAATGAATATGGAGACTAGCCTTTAATTATTCAGTAGAAAGCAAACAATAGTGTGATAGCTATATATAGTTATGATTATATAACCTTCACATTATGTTTAAACTATTCTTGTTCACTATTCAGAGATAATCCTGTCTTACAGTCATCAACTGGAAACGATAACACATCTGCACTCATTGGCTTCTGTCCAAATATAACATCTACTATATACTTAAAAATAATCTCTGCAATTCAAGGCAAATTACAAGGAATACCTTTAAGACAAATTATATCTGCATCAATTGAGTAAGTTTTATTCATTAAACTTAACAACTTACAAAATAATTAACTAATCAGTGTAATCAATAAATTTGGTCAGATTTTTCTTGAAAAGAATTTTAATGTTTATCAAATGTTTTTTTCCAATGTATTTAATGATAATTCCGATTTCAAAAATAGTATTCAATTGTATCTACAAATACTTATGTTCCCTCCTCTCCCTTTCCCCCCCCCAAAAAAAAACCCAATAATTCTGTGCGTAAACTCTAATCTAAAAGGGAATATAAACGGGCATTCCACATTTTTTTGTTTCTCTTTTCACTTATCTCAGTGTATTATTCTCTGTTATTCAATAAATATAGTAGCATTTAATTTAATGGTTGCTCAACTTCATGGATTAGTTAAAGTTAGACATTAACGCTGTTGGATGCCGGCTCAGCGGTCGCGTGTTTAAATGCTCTGGCGCGAGACTGGTAGGTCCTGGGTTCGAATCACGCGAGGCGCGATTGTGGATGCGCACTGCTGAGGTGTCCCACAATAGGATGAAACAGCCGTCTAGTGCTTCCAGGTTTTCCATGGTGGTCTAACTTTAATTGACTCATGATCTCAACTATATAAAAAAACCATTTTGTTGAAATTCAACAATTTTTGTGAACTTTCATTATTACTATGAAAACATTTTCTTATTTATCTAAATTTTAGATATTCCCAAGAAAATTGGCAATTCTTATGTGATTATTCAATGTATCCATCATTTTGTAGAAATTCAACTACCTTAAATGATGTACAATACTTTTATCTTAACACAATTATTATACATTCTGATATATCAGCTAAAGATGATCAATTAATGATAAATGAACAATTAGATTGTAATTTAGATAATTGTTGGACTAATGCATTTTATGCATGGACAGGATTAATTAAATTATATCAATTCACAGGTAAATATGAACAAACATTTGAGATTGGTGTAACATTAGGGATATCAAGTTTAATTATCATGATTTTAATTGTAACTAAGCCTTTCTTTTGAAAATGTAATTACATTAATGTTCTTCCTTCCTATACCATATCCTTATATACGATATCTCTTTTATATATTACCATCATTAAATTAACTACTTCTATGAATCCTGTGTTCATCTTGTTTTGCTAATGAGGCTATGGTAACTTTGACCGATGCATATATGTACCTGGTCCTATGTTGTAGCTGACTGACTGACTGACTGATGTAATTACATTTTGTCTTCCTTTTAATGTATGATGTTAATTCTATTCCGAATTGTTTGTAATTTTATTATGTTATTATATTAGATTACATTGTTATGTGTTTATGCTTTATATAAAGAAAACATACAATCATAAAGGATTACTTTTCTGTCATATTTTGATACCTTTCAGTATTGTAAGGGAAAATTTTTCGATTTTACTGAATAGAATTTGTAATTGTTAGAATTAATCAATATAGTGTTGATGAATAAATTAATTTAATAACACAATAAGTTCGAGTGATAGTTGCTCACAAACAGGATCATTCAATCAAACCCCTTTAACAAATCGATATCAAAGGCAAGGATACTAGCCATAAGCTAAACGGGATTTCTGAATCCGTTTACAGATTTTGTGGGACACCAACTCATAAGGGTTGATTATACTTCCAACACAAGTGAAGTCATGGACCTACTCAGATTCTACACCCTTTATCATTATTTCAGAAGCTGTTGCAGACCAGTCTTGAAGCAAAACTTGGCACTTCGAACGGAAAAAATGCACCCCAGATATGCTTGGATTGTTGAATAAGGCTGTCAGAAGACTTAGCATTTTGTCAGCGTCTCCAGCAAACAGAGCTCTATTATCTGCGTATTCTAATTCAATAAGAGAATCTCCTAGTTGAAGATCGGTTCTTGAAAATTCAGACGATGAGAGCGTTGTCTTAATATGTATCTTTGAAAAGGTCAAATCAAAGTGGGAAAATAGAAAAGCCATGATGAGCTCAACTTGAAGTTGTTAATTCCGTCCACAGTTCACCTTAAGACTTTGCTGGTAAACTCGACTCTTCAATATTCCATCACTTGTTATCTTCATCATTTCCTGCAGTTTAAAGATTTCACTTCTAACCGTTGAATATGACACATAGATATAGGTCATTTATTAAACAATGGACAAACCTAATGATCAGCGTATACATCATATTGAAATCTATAAAGCCAGATTTTATTATTTATTCACTGGACTTCGAGTTTGAATAGGCAACATTTTCAATGACTCTATAACTATTAGTGTTAAACTACTACAAAACAGTTATTCATAGTTAAATAAAGAAAGGAATGTTAATATTAAAATAGTTACAACTTTAACCACCAGTGCGTATTATCATATTTTTCGGGTTTTCATTTTAAAGAAGGGTTACTAGAGTGACAATTCATTACATGAAGATAGTTCAGTGATCCATCCAATTTCATCTCTTGAAATAATAATTAATCCTCAGGTTTTCATAAATATAAATCCATTTTAGTAATCAAACTCTTAGAGTTGTCCCCTAAGGTTTTATTTGATGGATGAAATAAATCGTAGGAAGGACATTCTAATAGTAATTCCTATCCAAAAATTTCATTCCCCAAAGTTAGACGGTTTTGTATTATCTTGCCAACTCGTTATTGATGTACTAATGCATAATCTTCATTGACGACTGTGGTAAACTTATTTTTCTGGTGTGTGGTAAGAATTACATTTTTGTGTTTCTCAACTTCAGAAAGTTCATTGTTAAGCATGATACACTCAGTGATCGATTCCTATAATTCATCCATAGATTTACAGTAAGAATGGTATTGTTTTAAGCTTCATACTTAGTGTCACTCCACTCAATACTGATAGCTGCTAACATGTTCTCAATCGAAGTCCAAAGACTGTTAGATTTTTTATCATTTTTTTAATCAAGGCATAATAACAATAGTAACATCGATCACAGATTTTTCATAATGCATCAAGTATCCTTGGTGGCAGTTGACAATATAAATATAACTATGAATATGTTCGCAAGTACATCAACAAGTGCTTTTCTTGTTATATAAATATTACCTAAACAAAGCTTAAACAATTTGGCGAAGTCGAGTAACCAGTTACAATCTATCTGACATGCTAAAAAATGTCAACGAGAGAATTTACTCTATGGAAGTTCTACCTGATAAATTAAAAGAACAATTTCTGCACTATGTTAAGCTAGTGGTTGATAAAAGAAAAGAAATGAAACTAATGAAAAATCTAGACAAATAGATTCCAGTAACGACGTTTGCATCTGACCCAGGTCAGTATACACACAATTTTTTCAATGTTAAGCTCAATAAGGCTGAGTTAGAAGCATTATCTTTTAGGCCTTAAGTTTTGTGACTTTAATAAAACGGTTAATAAAATGGACGTTAAAATTCAATTTGAAAATCTTTATGCCCAGAAGGCAGAACTAGTAACTTCATCAAAAGATTATGTCGAGAGTTTTAAATCAACACTGGTGAATGGTTGCTTGGGATATCTGAAACATGTACACAATTTGTAAGGGATTTTGATGAAAAAACGTAAGGAAACTTAAAACTGATTGCAATTTATTAATCACTAAACTAGACAAAGGTTGTGGTGTAGTACTCACGGGTAAAAACAACTATTTAGACCGGATGAGAGCCTTTTTAAATGATAGGAGTAAATTTCCGAAACTTGTGGTAAAGAGTGATGTGTAGAAAGCATTGAAGAAGAAATTAAACAACAAGGTTCGGAAAAAGTGGAGTGTTGAGACCTACAGGAACGATAACATCAAGGCTATATAGTCTGTCAAAAATGCGTACACGTGGTTTGTCCCTTCGATCCGTTTTAGATATGAATAATCCAGCCAGTCATACTTAAGCAAAATGGTTATTTCAAATTCTCAAACCATTGCACAAAGAAATCGTTAAGCATAACGTCAAAGATTCCTTTGAATTCGTTGATAATATAAAGTCTGTCGGTCAAAAATAACTTCATGACATCATTGGATTTATCGTCCTTATTGACTGACATTCTCCTAATTGAAACTGAGGATTTTATTGACTGTGAACTAACAGAGAGGTGCACATGAAACCTAAATTTCCCCATCCGCAATAAGACTGTTAATTCTTAGTTGCACGATGAATGTCTGCTTCCGATTTGAGAATGAATACTACTAGATGGTACAGTCAAGAAGTTGCCATTGAACCCTATGTTGACAGACACTTTTCTTGAAAATCTAGAAAATGGACCACTTAAAGAGATGATCTGTTATCTAATATCGCACTGTCTACATATATATAGATAATACTTTCATGGTATTAGAAAAAGAACACGAAAAAGATAATTCACATAACATTCATCCACCGATTACGTTACGCATTACGTGAAGAAAAAACCAACAAAAGCACATCGTTTCTAGATGTCCAACTAACTAGAAGAGTAGATGGAACATTAAGAAGACGGATACATAGAAAGTCTATAGTTGAACAATATACTCATTTATATAGTACTGTGCAAATCAGAAGCTTTGTAAAGATCCTGACTCATCATGCTAGAATTCTTTGCTCTGATGACACCGTTGTAAATGAATTGAGTAATATTCACAACCTGTTTAGTAGGAATGTAAACCCAACGAAGTTCATCAACAAACACATGGCTGAAATGAAAAGAATAACAAATGTATCTACCGTTCCGTCTTGGTTGAGCAAAGGACAAGTAAGAATGATTAAAACTTCTATTTTCCCTCACGTGGTGGACACACGTCATCAAATTGACTTGAATAAAGGTTTTAAGGTTATCTACCATTTTCCATCAAATTTACCTCATGGTTTGTGCGTTCAACTTTCTCCCAATACTGAGATAACCAGAATCCATGTTCATAAACCAAAATTTTGCATCCAAAAGAAGTTTTTATAACCACTCTCTCTACCTTGGCCATCGGTATAGGAATGAGTTTGTAGCTAAACTTTGATGAAACCCTTTCCTTCAAAAATATCTAAAGTATTTATTTATTCCTCCTACTCTGTATTTTACATATTCTCAACATTTGTCACTTCATTCATACGTTATTACTAAAATACTGACCTTTTGTCAAAATATTTTGCTAGTTCTATCTTCTTATGAATTGTGCAACTGTGATGTTTAAATAAATCAATGACTTCTTTGTTTTGATGACTGTTGTAATTTTGAATTCCAAATACAATACATTCGTTCGGGCTCATCTAATACTTCTTGATTAAATTGCGTTATTCCTGGGATTACTAGTTTATACTACAATTCAAATACTTCTGATTATCATATTGGCGTCGTGATTCAGCCTGTGATGGAACGGTTGAATATAAATTCAGATTTTAATGCTTTTGAGGAGTACATGGAGAGGTTTGAAACCTGGGCTATGATCAAGGAAGACGATGAAGATTTTAATATTCTAGCCCATTTCTTTACATTCATTGGGAAAGAAGCATACAGCCTTATAAAGACTTTGGCACTTCCAGACAAACCGATTTCACTCCCCTATACAACTCTCAAGCAACTACTGTTGGATCATGTAAAGTACAAATTCTGAATGTGGTAAGAGACAAATATCCGATAAAATGACTCGACAGAAGATCAGGAATTCCACTACTTTACTAAGTCGTTGCAGTCGAAGCGTAATCAAAGTTATCCAGATAATACTTCATTGAGCTGTGAAACAGTCCATGAAGATGAACACGAGTTTAGTAAATGCATGTTCTGTGGCAAGTTTCACCCATGTAACTCATGTGTATTTCGTAATTCTAAATGCTTTAAATGTGGTATAACTGGACACATTCAGTCAGTTTGTAATACCATGCTTCATTTTGCTGAAAGCAGTGCTAAGATGGATGCTTCTAATGATCAGTTATCTTTATCTAGAAGTGGTATAACGTCGCATAACAGTCCAGAGTTGAATGAAACCCAGAATCATTGTGAGACAAAAAATTTTAACCAACAAACTTATTGGATTTCTCATGTTATTGAACCAGATATGGTTTGTCGTAA